CTTCCTTTCTCTGCAGGATTATCCCAAGCTCAGCCAGTCATACTATTCCTTGCTGGAAGTTCTTACCCAGGACCACATGAACTTTATAGCCAGTCTGGAGCCTCATGTAATCATGTATATTCTCTCTTCCATTTCAGAAGGCCTCACTGCACTAGGTAACTACTACTGCTCTTTGTTGTGCTCTTAGGGCTTTGATTTGGAAGTGGGGAAAGATTTTGATTGCTTTGTATTTCAGGGTAACAGATGAGTTAAGACCTTGTGAATGGGTGGAGGAGTTTCACCTCGGTTAAAGTTGGAGCATTAGAGATAGCGAATATGTCAGTGAGGAAGTTGCTGACCTCTTTAGGGTTGGGTGGTTCTTGATTGCAAAGTCTGTAAAAGGACCCAGATAAATGGTGGTGTTCCCCTGGGAGCCTGCCCAAGTGCACCTGAGCAAGGGAAATGCTGGCAGTGCCCCAATATCTCCCCCTTTCCTATTGTTGCAGACACCATGGTTTGCACAGGCTGCTGCTCCTGTTTGGACCACATTGTCACCTATCTCTTCAAGCAACTGTCTCGCAGCACCAAGAAGAGGACCACACCTCTGACCCAGGAGAGCGACCGGTTCCTGCACATTATGCAGCAGCACCCAGAGATGATTCAGCAGGTAAAGACCGAAGGCGTAGGGCCTTGTTGTGGCATGGCATGGTAAACTTCCTGATAAGCCCTGAATTTTTGTAGCATGATGTAATATGGGGGCTGCGTGCTCCCTGCTCTAGAGCCCCAGGCTTTTCCGGAGCAAAAAGGGGTTTTTGCTAGTATTGCATTTCTCTTACACATTCATCATATGGTAGGTCTGATTCAAAGCCATGCTTCAGGGCCATGGTTCTCCCTGTGCAAGGAACACCATTTTAGCATTTTAGATATGAAAGTAGCCAAAAATGAGCTTTTGTCTTTTGTTTTTTTTAAAGAGAAATACAGTTATGAGTGGTGCTGGCAGTTCATAGAAATGAAGCCAGGAAACATACCTTCAACCAGAGAGTGTGTGCTCTGCTGCTGCTTTAAAAAAAAATCAGGGTTTGTTTAAATGCCTGGAACAATAAAGTGGTACATCTGCACTCATAGCAGAGTGGGCCCCGTGGGGTCCCCATGCTTAACTGCCTAGACTTCAGCATAAGGGAACAATCTCTCTGCTGTGGCGCTTGCGTTGGGGACCACATGAACGTTGGGTTCACGGCCTGTTGGAGCACGTGCTGCCTTGGCACCATTCATGGCTGCCTTCAGAATGGCCTCTGCAGGGTGAATTTGATATTTGAGCTTTACATGCTGGTAGCACATCTGCCATCTGTCTCCTGCCTCCACCCGCAACACCTCTGATAGACACAGAGCTTGCTGGGATTTGTCTTCTCTCTGGGTCAGGAGCATGTGCAGTGGCAGAGGATCAATAGTGAGCCGAGACATTTTCCTGACTTAGATCAGGCTTAGTTCAGCGTATACCTACACGTACCATGTAGTTGAGGTACCTCTGTGTCATTAAATGACAGATGATTCTGCTCACAGAGGTTTTGGTGCTCCAGAGGGCCCTGCGTTGGGATCTGGATATCCGTACCTTACAGCAAAACATTTTATATGCCTCTTGCCTGGCCGTGCTGCTTTGAACAGCAGTGCTCGGTGCATTTCTGACAGTGTTATCCAACCTCGCTCGGTGGTACTTGTCAAAGTGTCAGCGTGACTCCCACATGAAAGGAGAGAATATTGTTCCACCCTTGCTGGTAGATGAAATGCAAAGAAAAGCAGGCTTTTTGGGGGCTAGAAGCTGTGTTTTCTGACAATAAAAAGGAGAAACTGCATCTTCCATACCAGCTAGGTTAGATACTGGCTTGAGCCTGAGGAGGCTTTGGAAGGGAATGCAGACACCCTTAGTGTGGACTAGAGGAAGCTCCCAGGGCACCACAGCATGTGCTCTCTGCATTTAAGCACTTACTATTACCCTGTTTAAGTGAAGATGAGACAATCTTTCCCCTGGCTGCCTTGGGGCAGGATGGAGTGTGTCAGGAGTAAAAATTCTAACAGCTTTCAGCACCTCCTCCATTTGCCTTCAGTGAAGTTCTCCACCAGTTCATGGGGGCTGCAGGTCCTCCTCTTGTCCCATGGTGCTGAGAGCTCCAACACTGGAAGCGTCAAAGGTGAATCGTTGGTTCTGAGCCCGCACGGTGCTGTGGTGAGGAGAGAGCTGGGACGGAAGGGCTGGTTTTAAACCTCCCTTTCCCTCTTCCAGATGCTGTCGACAGTGCTGAATATCATCATCTTTGAGGACTGCAGGAACCAGTGGTCAATGTCGCGGCCTCTGCTTGGCTTGATACTGCTCAATGAAAAGGTAAATGTCCCATCCTCCCGTCGCAGCTGGAGGAGCTGTCTGGGCTTGAGTGATGTGGGAGCCTTCCGGCTGAAGGGAGCAGAACAGTGTCAGAGCAGGTGGTTGGGAAGTCGGGATTTGGAGAGATCGTATGTCGAGGGAAGGGTGTCCAGCCCTCCCCTGCCGCACCCTTGGCACTCAGGAATCCTATTAACTTTCATTCAGAAGGGCACTAGAAGTCACCGTCACCTGAAAAACCGTAACGCGTTTCCTCCCTCTTCCTGAGAGCCTGTTGTGCATGCCTTGTCTCAAAGCCAAGGTGGCTATTCATCTGAAAATTAACCTATCCTTCTCTTGTCCTCCCCAGTATTTCTCTGACTTGAGGAACAGTATAGTGAACAGCCAGCCTCCAGAGAAACAGCAGGCAATGCACCTCTGCTTTGAGAACCTCATGGAAGGCATCGAACGCAACCTCCTAACCAAGAACAGGGACAGGTCAGTGTGGGCCAAAGACCCGCGCCCGTCCTGAGGTGTGCTGAGCCCATAGCTTAATGCAGAGTCACAGCCTAGAGAGTCTGTGGTCATCAAAACAGGAGGAATGGGCAACCTCCCGCTCTAACACACTCCTCTGCCTTTTCCTTAGGTTTACACAAAACCTGTCAGCGTTCAGGCGAGAGGTGAACGACTCCATGAAGAACTCCACCTACGGTGTGAACAGCAACGACATGATGAGCTGACGTCTCCCAACTCCGCCTGTACAGAGCAGCATCTCTTTGGCCTGGCCCAGAGGGGTTACCGTTTCCGATGGAAAGAAAAGAGGGCGTTTCTAATCCCTGCTCTTCCCCAGGGCTGGATTGCGACGCTCGCTTTGGGCCGTACTCCACGTCCCGAGGGAGGAGGGAACAGGAGGGGTTGTTGAGCTCACCGGGGCAGGGTGCTTCTGTTTCCGTGGGAGGGGGTGGAAGGGCATAAGCCAGGTGCAAGAATCCAGCATCTCCCTACCCGAATGTCTGCGTGGAACGCCAGCGCTCTGCTGCAGCCTGCCTTGTATAAACATGTACATTTTTTCATAACATTTTGAACAAGGTTTATATTGACTCAGTTTAAAAAAAAAAAAAGTGTGATTGAAATTTTTACAGAGTCCTGGTGCACCGGTGCTGGCGTGAGGGTTGTGTATGCGAGTGAGGAAAGCGTGTCCTGCAGGCCTGAAGCTTTACTGGGCGAGGGGTGGGTGTGTGAAAGTGCAGAGATATATTTAGTGACAAGTGTAGAGAGAAGCAAAAAAAAAAAAAAAAAAAAAAAAACAAAAAAAAAAAAAAAAAAAATGATGACAAAAAAAAGGCATTGTAAAATTCCAAATGTATATTTTTTCTTATTAAGCCCCTTGAAATCACAACTTCCTGTTACCGTCTTGCCCTTGTTATTAGGAACTCTAAGCCATGCCGCGTGATCTTTCATTCGTGCTTGCTCGTGGGTGTCTCTCCTATCCCCCGGTGTAGCAGTAGGCGCTGTCCCCTCGTCAACCCGCTTCTTGCAGGGCCCTCGCCTTCCTCCCTCCGGACCGACGCTGTGCTGGGTGCCTGCCCAGCGCCAATCTCCTCACTCTGCCTTCTCCTTTGTTATTTTTTCTTTTCTTTCCCCCCTCCCCATCTCAGTCGAGCAGGTAGCACGCGTGGTGCTGGCGAGCTTGCTGCGCTCTCGAGAGCTCGCAGCAGCGAGCATGGCCGGCCTCTACAGCAGCACACGCCTGTGCTCGGACCGAGCCGGCAGCGCGGGGCTGCTGCAGCCAACCTGCTGCCTCGGAGGGTTCTTAATAACAAGGTTTGCCTAGCATGAAGTATTTAACGCCCCCTTTAAAATGATTCCATTTTTTTCTAAGTCACCATAATAAATGTTTTGGATATTAAAATTGACTTACAGAGGAAAGCTGATGGGGGAGGGAACCCATTTGCCTTGTACTTTTTCCACTATTGTTGCTGCTAGTCGTGTGCATCCTCTTGCTCAGCTCTACCCACAGACACTCAGTCCTTAGGCCTTCAGTTTCTCTTCCCAGACACCACCTACTCTTTATTTTATTTTATTTTATTCCTCCGCCCCCCCCTTTTTTTTTTGTTTTCTTTCCTCTGGCGATTGTGTGTTGGGTCCTTTTTCGCGTGAGCAGATTGCTGGTTGACTTGTAAGGGTGTTTGCTGCATACAGTGTAAGCATTGTGACTGCAAATAAAACTTCAATGGTTTCTACTGAGCTGTGTCTGCCTGGGCATCGCCTGCGCCCCAAGCTCTCCTCTGCACACCCCGGAGGCAGGAGCTGGCCCCTGCCTCCTGCGGGACAAGTTTTCCACACAAAGCAGGTTAAAAAATTGTATTTGTGTGGGTGGATCGTACTCTGGCATGGGGGGCCTCAAGTGGTGCAGGCAAAGGTCTAGCCAAAATCAGTGGATTCAGCAATAACTTCCTTAGCGGTTTTGGTCCGATCTAGGGAACAACCCTTTGACCACCTGCAGCACAAGGAAATTTTATTTTTTTTTTTAAGCATTTATTTACAGTCTGCAAATGGAGTCTGAACTTAGAGGAGCAGGGAAGGCAGGTACAGCCCTGCTTCTCCCCCCTGCCCAGGCAGGGACCAGCAGCAGGGTAGGGGCCTTTCTGCCCCCTCCTCAGCTCGGTGCAGGGTGAGCTCATCCCATCCTCACCCCGACACCGCTTCTTTTGCCACGGCAGCCGCTGGCTCCCTGGCACTGCTGTAGACGACGCTGTTACAGCCCTCTCTGTTCCGAGCGATTTCGATGGCAAAAAACTGGATTCTGGTAGCTAAAAGAGGGGAGAGGAAAAACTTAAAAGAGCAGATCCATGGGTTCAGCCTTCCTGTAGCCTCGTGTACCCCTTTTCTAGCTGGAAAGGCACTGGCTCCAGCCTGCGCCGTGGCTTTCCAAGCCCAGCCGTGCCGTGCCAGCCCTTGCTCACCGAAGATGGTGTTCTCCTCGGTGTAGTCTTTGCGGCAGTCCAGGCGGAGCAGGGTGCCGTAGTTGAAGTCCTCCACCACCCCCTCGAACCGCAGGCAGAACGGGCGCCATTTCTGGGGAGAAAAAAGCACGGGTATCCCTGGAGCCCCGGGAGAGGGGGAATGGTTGTGTGTGTGTCCCCCCTTGCTCCCCACCGACCTCCTTGGCAGACTCCGATTTGAGCTCTTCGGGGTCGAGCACGTCAATTTTAAGATCCTTGAAGTTTTTCCTGAACTCGCTGTAGATCTGGTCGTCGACTTTAGTGAGGTTCAGAAACTTGGGGTCCACGGAGGAGATGAGCTACACCAAAATACTAAAGAATTAACCGTGACCCCCCCCCTCCC